TTTAACTTACAGTACAGTGTTATTGTAATTTTAAGCATTTAGTTATATGCTGAGTATTGCAATAACATATTGAGATATATTCTGATGTCATCAGCTGCAAAGCATATCCCCAAAGGTGAGTTTTGTCTGTCTGTTTTATCTGAAAGGATGAAGTTCTCGGTCAGTTCCTCTCACTTCAGTCATTTTTATTGCTGCTAAAGGTTGCTAAGCAGTCAGTCTGAACAAAGCTGTCATTAAAAGCTGTCATGTATGTTTGTTATGCGCTTGACAGACTGATCTGTTTATTTTACGAATGAGTCCATCCTAAATTAACACAAACATGTGGAACACTGTTATGGGTATTTTCAGCAACAGGCAGCAGTCACCAGTCCTCTGAGATAATGAGCTGTTTATAGTCATATGAATCCAAACAGTGTGATGTCCATGCTTTGTGTTACTTCCTTGGCTTAACTTTATGTTACTGTCTAACATTGGTGCACGAGATGGGTGTTCATCTTCGTAATATTCCTAGTTTTACTTTGGTACAACACTCATTGTAAATCCCATGTGTCATATCTGTCTCTGTTGTTCCTTTCTTGGTGTCTTGCATGAATTTTATTATTCTACTACTAAAAGATTGGGCGGCACGGTGGTTAGCACTGTTGCCGCACAGCAAGAAGGTCCTGAGTTCAATTCCGCCATCAGGTATTTGCATGTTCTCCCCATGTTTGCGTGGGTTCCCTCCGGGTACTCCAGCTTCCTCCCACAGTCCAAAGACATGCAGCTTGTGGGGATAGGTTAATTGATTAATCCAAATTGCCACTAGGTGTGAATGCGTGAGTGAATGTGAGTGTGAATGGTTGTCTGTCTCTGTGTGTTAGCCCTGCGACAGACTGGCGACCTGTCAAGGGTGTGCCCCGGCTCTCGCCCTATGACAGCTGGGATAGGCTCCAGCAACCCCTGCAACCCTGAAAAGGATAAGTGGATAGATGGATACTACTAAAAGATGTAATTTGCAATTTATGTAAGAAATTATTTATAATTAGTGTCCCTGTATTGATATAATATTGCCATGCAAAAAGATTGTGATACTACATTGTATCAGCTTTTCTTTCTTCCTCCTGCCTTCCATCCCTATTAGTCAGGTTCTTTTCGATGTTTTCATTGTATCTCTGTAGACCTTGACAATGTGATGCCTACCTCTGCTAGTGTTCTTGACTTGGTTGTGTTGTGACGTTTTCTTAACCATGGAAATAATTCTATGATCAGCCGCTTTAGTTGTCTTCTGTGGTCTTTCATATCTTCGTGTAACAGAGGGTATCTTCAGAGTATGGGAGATGCATGTATGGAGATGTATTACAGAAAGACTTTGAGCTACAAAAAGTTTAAAACAATGTTTTTATAAGTGACAACTTAAACTGCATGCGCTGAAAATATATGAGAGATGGAGACTGAACTGCAGGTTTTCTGTGCATACATTTGTATGCATCACTGGCTTTATCTACTGTAGGAGTATCTGCACATACACAAGCCTGTAGCGAGACAACGAGGAGGCATCATCTCAGCGCATGGATGGTCTAAAGTGGAACGTCATGCTGAGGGAGAAAGATGATGGTAGAGACCAGTAGGAGAGAAGGTCGAGGTGGCTATAGGTCTAATCTGGAGCTCACCTCCATCTGTGATTGAAGTGTGGAACTGCAGCTTCTCACATACTTACATTCACAGTCATTTTCTTCTAACCTACAAGCCTAATAAACAGACTCTTCTTGTAAGAAGAGTATCCGGATATCTCCGTCAAATGCAAGATCTTATTAAGAATACTGAAACATTGTTCCTTTGTTTTCATATGAATCCAACACAGTTAAACAGTTGTGATGATAACAAAATATAAAAGAAGATTTTTAACAAGGAGTGCTGGATATACCTAATGTACCTGTTTCAATTGCTTATTAACACAGACACTCATATGGCTGCAACTCTGTGCATTTAGGCATGTAGACATGGTCAACACTGAGCATCAGAATGGGAAAGAAAGATGATTTAAGTGATTTTAAACATTTGGTGTGGTTGTTGAAGCCAGACGGTCTGGGTATTACAGAAAGTACTCATCTGCTGGGATTTTCCCACACGACCATCTCTTGAGTTTAATGGTGTGAAAAGAGAAAATAGCGAGTGAGCAGCACTTCTCTGGGGGAAAATGCCTTGTTGATGTCAGAGATAGGAGGAGAATGGCCAGGCTGCTTCGAGCTGCTGTAGTAGTAACTCAAATAACCACTTGTCACAACTAAGGAATGCAGAAGAGCATCTATGAATGTCAAACCTTTAAATATTGTAGATGGGCTACAGCAGCGGAAGACCACACTGGGTGACACTCTTGTTAACTACAAACAAAGTGTGGCTACAATTTGAATGGGCTAACCAAAGTTGGGCAATAGAAGATTGGGTTGATAAGTTTCATTCTCTGCTGTGAGATTCAGGTGCTGGGTGAGACACCAGCATGGATCCATCCTGCCTTGTATCAACAGTTCAAGTTGTTTGTGGTCATGTAATGTTGTGGGAGCTATTTGCTTGGCAAGACTTTAAGTACCAACTGAGTATAGTTCAAACCCCACAGCCTATCTGAGTATTGCTGCTCACCGTGTCTGTCCTTTTATTATCATCTATCCATCTTCTAATAGCTGCTTCCAGCAGGATAATGTGCCATGTCATAAACCTCAAATCATCTCAAACTGATTTCATAAATATAACAATGCGTTCACTGTGCTACATTGCCCTTCATAGTCATCAGATCTCAGTGCAATATACCACCTTCGGTGTCCAATAGGAAATTTGCATCATGGATTCACTAAAGTCTGAGCAATGTTTCCAGTACCTAGTTGAATCTGTGCCGTGAGGATTAGGGCATATCTGAAAGCAAAAGTGGGTCCAGTCTGCTACCAGCAAGGTGTAACTAATGAAGTGGCCAGTGACTGTGTTTACCAATCTGACAAAGTTTGTATTATTGCAGTTATTGTCACTGTACCTCCTTTAACATATCCTCTGTACCATAGATGTAATATCTATATTGTGTCTGGTTTCCTTTTGTAGTATCCATATATTCAGAGTTCCTTTTAACAGTCCAGTTCTTTGTTTCTACTGTAAAGCATTTGAATGACTGTATAATTATCAATTATCATTTTTATACTGTATTCCAACACTTCTATTTTATTAGTATTACAATAACAAGGACTTAATGCTCTTCCATGCCAAATAAGGGTGGTTTGTGCCCATCACTGGGAAAGGCCCTCAGCATTTTAAGACCATGCCCACAGCAGTGACTAATTGTTTGTTGTGTCAGTGCTCGTCGTGCCCGTTTGCCTTTAATGGAGTGTAGTGTGGTGATCCATCAGGCTGTCGAGCAAGCCCCGTGTCAGTTGAAGTGGCTGTGTGTCAGTGGGGCGAGCGTACCGTGCAGATGTGATTTACTGCCCTGCTTGTTGCGCCGCCTTGCACCTCTGCTCATAGCCATGCAGTGCAGCCCATTCCTCTCCTCTTCTTCCCTTTCCTCTCCTCTCACCTCAGATTGATTACCAGCGCAACTGCCTCATGACACTCGCCATCCTCTGGCAACCTTTTAGTGCCATTTTATAGATGGTTAGCACACCTCATTTGGCTATTTATACATCTGTAAGTGGCCATGAAATATAGATTTGTCTTGATGGGTGTCAACATCGGAGCTGTGGAAGCAGAGCTCGGTGACACCTCGTTATTTTAATGGTGTGAGATGAAGGGGCCACACGACAGGAGTAATTTTAATACACGGGCTAAATGATACTGTTTTTATTTTCATTTAATGTTTGCACTCATATTTTACTCTGAGCAAAAAGGCTCTTTTCTTGCAGTATTTAGTTGGTGCTAAGAGGTGTAACGATGATGAGGCTGGGAAGCAACCAAGGATGGAAAGGAGTATACACACACACACACACACACACACACACACACACACACACACACACACACACACACACACACACACACACACGTAAAAAAAAATCTACATATATTCTATGTGAATCATGAGGTGGTTAACAGTAACATGATATGTGACCTGTCATACACACACACGCACACACGTATTTCAGCCCATTCACAGGCAAGGGTCTCATAGGTAATTAGGTGCTGGCACCCACTCAGTGTGATGTGATGGTTAATTGAATAGTTAACACATCAGAAGCAGGCCTGTGCAGATTGGAGGTGACACCTGTCAGAAAGCTGTTCTCTCCCTGCCCAGGACATTTCCTGCTCTGCCTGATACATATGTCATCTTTGTGGAAATACCAAATTAGGGGCAGGTAACTGAGTGAGTGCAGTTCAGCAGGTGTGGAGATAGCTTGGGGGTGGAAGAAGGAAGGCGCTCCTCTGCTCTGTCCTTCAAGAGAATTTGTAAAGCTCAGGGCACCTGTCCTCACTTCACCTCAGGCCATTTCCATGGTTATGTGACAGGAAAGTGACAGCTCCTTGTGTTTGTGTGTGTGTGTGTGTGCGTGTGTGTGTGTGTGTGTGTGTGTGTGTTTGTGTGTGTGTGTGTGTGCGTGCATGTGTACGCAGGCTCTCCCCCAGAGGTGTGCTCAAGGCATCCAGCAGTGGAGTACGCATCGTGCAAACGCAGGGCCACCTGAGTGGAAGTGTCCAGATCCAGGTAAAGACAGCTGTCTGGCAGGTAGACTGACATTTGCCAAAAAAAGAAGAGCTTCTTATCGAACTACTTTCTATCCTCAAAAATTGTAAGAGGTTACATTTGCTCAGGCACCTTAAAGAGAAAAGGGGATCGGCTGCAGGCAGAGGTCCTGTTAAGGGGCAGTGCAGTCAAATGGAGGTAACAGTTCTAGATGAGAGGGTTAGCACAAGGAGCAATAGCCTAACCAGTGAGGCAGGTACCAACTGGGCACCTTACCTCCAAATGAATTGAGCAATTAACTCACACACATGCACTCTGACACACTATACTCATTATGTCCTCTCACTTCCTCCGCAGGAGTGCAGTGGATGGAATGAGGGAGCAGACTCATGGATCTGTTGAAGACAGTAGCGTTTCTATAGAAAAGAGCTGTGCATGCACAGTAGCAAAAGCAAAGAGGCCTGATTGGGAGTACTCCATTGATGCAACACACAGTGGCACAACATATTCTACTGTCAACCCACTGAGGTTTGCACAGAAGCTCAGACAAGACCCCTGCAAAGACCCAGGTCAGGAAAGGCAGTGCAGCTCATTTCTGTTTGAGAAAATGTTGTCATATAGTTCCCAGTAGTTTGTGTCAAATCTGCAGTGGTCCAAGGCAGTATGCTTATGTGTTTAGGTCAGTTGTGACACATCACATTTCATGTTGTTCTAGAATCTTCTGTAACTTATTTATATCAATAACTTACTATCCTGTCTTAGTGGAGAGGTTTTTCTTTAAAAGAAGCTATTAAACTCCCAAATAAAGTAATGACAAAGACATTGAAACAGAGAGGATGATTGATCATGTTAGAAGCTGGGGACTTGGGGATAAGGGAAGCGAATGACAGTGATAAGTTTTGTGTCCACTCAGCTTGTCTCCAACCCTGGTTTTAATATTTTGTGAGAAACATTCACCTGAGTGATGCCCCAGCTGATCACTGGCATGGAAATGTCCCATGAGTTTCAGTTGGGGCCTTTTTTAGGTAATGCATTCTTCGTATATACAAAATATGCCTATCCTCCCAATGCAATGGTGCACATGGAAAAAGAAATATATATGCAAATAAAGACACTGAAGCTGTGGTCAAACAGATACTGAATTATTTCAAAAGGTAAATGCACCAGGTTGGGGGTCTGTTTAAAACAGGTCAGTGAATTTTTTGTAAAGACTTTGGAAACCACCTTTTTAAGTGTTATCCACGAAAAGGTTTCCAGCAATGACAAATGTTTATCTAGGATATGTGTTTGAGTGAAAGGTTCTATATATTAATTTTTGTATACATTTCTTTTGTAGATGTACATCTAAACAGGGATTTGCATGACAGGTGGGAGAGGTCTTTGTTGTCAGCATCAGCAGCCACAAGAGGAGCTGGCAGAAGTTATGACAACTGAGTAGCTCCAGGGCATTAACTGTGAAGCTGCAGGTATGCTGTATTTCATGCAGTATTATCTTGAGATTACATTTCATTTATATCTTATTTTATTCCTACTTAGTAAGAAAAACAGGAGGAAATGATCTTACTGTAAAGTACTTGAGGTTTCTGCTGTGGATCTCACGGATCTGTGGCAGACTGTTGTGCTACCACTGTGACTCATAATATTCCCCATTCCCCCCACACCCACCACCACCACCATTCATCCCATTCCAAACCATCCATGTATGTGTGTGGGCCAGTCACTCAATAGGCGGATCATTTAGGGTCGGAAGCCCCGTGTGAAATCAGATGTTTAACTGTCCAGCTGAAGCGGGACACGAGCATCTTAACCAGCACCTTGCCAAAGGTCTCGTGTTCAATCAACCGACCGGGGCTGCTGTGAGTATGCTCGCCACCTGCCAATAGGCATTAAGAAGGATTTAGTAATTAAGTGATAGGCTGAGGACTAAATTGGGTGTTTGTGGGCTGGTGAGCCACCCCAAGGTCCCTGCAGCCATGCAGATAGGGGATTCTAATTGCCAGTAATATTGATCAGCTCGGCGAGGGGGGTGCACAGGGAATTCACTAGCCATCGATTAGCTGTTACTTCACCTCGCTTGTCAATGGAAGACAGGGAGGTGAGCATTGGAAAAGCTCCAGGCTTTTCCCAGAGTATCCTTCACCACCAGTAGCTCCTGACACTTGCGTACACGGTCAGTGACACAGCATATTGTGATAGAAGTGCTTTCTAAACTCCTCCATAGCTAAATGATATCTCATAGGAAATCTAGAAGTAAAGCTGAAAACAGAAATGGGCTTTGCAGAAGGCTCACTAGCCTTTTTCCTCAAAATTAGTCTCTGTGGGTTTTTAAGGGCTCTAAATTGTCTCTGTGGTCCTCGTGTTGGAGGGAGAGAGGCCACTGAGTTTGCATACTCTCTTATATTTAATCCATTTCTTCACCTGGTGAAGAGATCCTGGTCAGAGCACTTGCACATACTTTTTTAATTCAGCCTCCGGTGACACATGATCATCAAAAAAATAGCACACATCTGGTACACAATATCATTATGGGCAGAGTTATTTAAAAAAGACTCAATAAATGTTAAAACATTGTCTGTTTCAGTCACACGCACACACACACACACACACTGCGCTGTATTGATTTAGTTCCATGCACGACATACTTACAGCACTTAATTCCTGTGGTTGGGCTCAATAGAGAAGAAATCAATTAAGAGATGCGTGAACGAAGTTAATTTTAAGATCTTGATTTGTCAGTATTGAGTAAAGTTGGGCTTACTGTTAAAAAGAAATTATTGTCTTTAGGTTTTTTTTGTGTACATGGCTGTTGCCCTAACCCTAAGAGTTATGGTCACATTCCTGCTTAAAATGTTTTTGCTCCATCATATTAATTTCCAGTAAGGCTCACAGAACGTGCAGGTTCCAGCTTGCATTTCCAGTTCTGGTGAAATGATGTTTTATTTAATTCCCAGGGATCATTTGTACTTATCCAGTGAAAATATTGATCTCCTGTGTATAAAAATGGAGACGTCCTAATGTTTGTCTACCTTCCTTTTGGTATAACAAAATAAACTGTGCAGCTGCTTTCATATACTGTTTAGTGTTTACAGTCTGGGATCACTGCAATCAATGTTTATTAAGCTCACATTAGAAGCATCTTGTCGTATCCTTTTTAGGGACCAAGCACAAAGAAACTTCAGTGAAAGACAATATACCTAAGCAACTAGAACACACTCAAGTTTGTCTTCAGGCAGGGAAATAGCACATGTTTAATGTTAACCTTTCATCCATCGATTTTCTTAATTGGTGGAGCCTGTACCCACTGTCATAGGGCAACAGGTGGGGTACAGGCTGGACATGTTGCTAGTCTATCATGGAGAACCTTTGTCAGACACACTTTGAATGATTGAGCAAATAATCTCATCCTATGTGCATGACAGTTAAGGATCAATGTATCATCAGTTTGACAGAGAACCAATCACAGTTCAGTATGGCACTCATGGGAATCAAATCAACTTGCAGTGTGTTATGGGACAGTCTTTGACACTTCCACTCTGCCACTGGCATTTTTGTAATTTGAGTCAACAAACTTTTTCTTTTTTTTTGTAATTTGCTGTTTGACAATGTTTAGTATTTCAAAGCAATTTCAGGTAGTCTTTTATGTCTGTGCCGAAATCAAGTGCAGAAGCAGAAGCTGTGAGGTTTGCTGCCCAGCAGTCTTGAGCCTGAGTCATTTAGAGCCTATTACAAAGCATCAATATATTGATTGAAGCAAGTGTCTCAGTGTACTGCTCTGTAAACACACAGTTGGTTTGGCTGTGCATGTTTTATCTGCTTGAATCTTATCAGGATTTAAATCTTTTTCCTCTTCTGCTCCATTAATTGTGGCAATATTGGCTTTTGAACCGAGGATTTGAATCACTCCTCCTTTGCGGTGTTTAGCTTTGGGTTTCCTTTCAGTAATGTGTGCATTTTCCCCCCCCCCAGTTTTTTCCAGTTCCTTGTGATATTTCCACATACAGTACACAATTACTTTAAATCATTTTAATCCAAATGCTGTTTCTAAATTTAAAGGATGTACTTATGTACTGAAAACAAGCCAGGCAACAGGAATAACGGGTCAGAATAATCACTAAAATGGGACAGAGGGACAAATGAAGAAGACAGTGACTTTATGTGCTGTCTTACTGGAGTTATGAAGTTTTTGTTTGCTAAAGCTGCATCCAAACTGGAACCAAGTCACAACAACGAGGCGAGTAGCCACAGAAGAAAGTTAATGACATTGGTGACTTTACGTGGCTGCAGGCGAAATAACTGTTAGCAACATAAAGCGAGCAGGAACCGAAATAAACTCTTCTCAACTTCCAGGCAAAAAAACAATGACCGTGCAGGATACCATCGATTAACGTATGACCTGGTAATAACACGTTAACTAGGCATTTGGAGCCCCTCCAAAGTTATCCAGCCATCAGCTTTGGTGCGACATGTGGGAAGCAAATCGCATCCAGTGAGCAGGGAGGCAGCATGGACACCCAAGTTTGTGATAACCTGAGAAGCAAGTCATCTAGGACAATAGGTCTATCTACTAAGTCTCAGAGGAGTGTGAATCTCAATGACCTCAACCTTAACATCATAGGTCAAGTTTTCTGAAAGTCTTATGAATGTAATGACTTCAGAATGAAGCGACACAGGATTTTAAAATTCCTGCCATTGGTACATCTACTAGGACTTAAGAGTACCGTAGTATTTTTAAATCAAACAACCAAGACATAATTGAAATGCAGACATTATTTAAAGGGGTTTGCCAGAAATATTTCATTAGCTGTTTAAGAGTTAAACATTTTTATTAAAAAAAAAAAAAAAAAACTTGACATCTAATTAAAAAGCAGGTTCATGGCCTGTTCTTTTATTTTAAGTTAAAAACTAAATGATTTGGAATTGAGCTGTTTGATTTGCATGTAGTGTCTGTTTACTGGAACAATATGAGGCTTCAATGGTACAGGATAAGCACTATATGGACAAAAGAACTGGATCTACTTATTACACATAGAGGAGCTCCTCAGCCATGGAAAAGTCTGCCGTGAAGCTCCTGGCTTACAGTTTTTGCGCTGATGTTGATGGCAGAGAATGTTCCGAACTCAGAGCATTGTTGACTTTTACACACTATACGCCTCAGCGCTTGTCCGCCTGCTCTGTAACTTTATGTGGACTGCTACTTCACTTCCACTTTGCAGTAACATGACTTAGCTGATCTTGTTGCAGTATTGGCAGCAAATCGCAGCTTCAGACAACGTCCCAACTCCAACGCCATCTGTGAATCTAATTGCTTGCAAACATAAAGAGACAGTCCTGACAATTTACCACTTTTGTGACAAACAATGTTGTCTGTATTTATGTGTTTATCCATTGATGACGTTCACCATATGGCGAGCCATACGGTCGCATCCGAGTGTCTGCACTGTTTGATTTCCAAGGTCGTTTTGTGATCTCTGAAGGGGGATTGTTTCCCCATGCTCGTCTTCTGATTGAAGCCTAGCTAGAACCATTTATACACCACTCACAGTCACCCTCCAGCCATGCTCCCAAATTGAATTAGTTTCAGTCTGAATTTGTGTTTCAAAACTAGTAATTATTTTTTAACCCCAGAGGAAGCCAAGAGAAATGAGTCAGATTTTCTGAAGTCATGAAATTTGACGATATATGATTTAACACCAACCAAAGGGACACAAGCCTGAAGCACAGCAATTTACCAACCATTCATCTGTTAGCAAATTAAATCACACCACATTTGACATCTTTTGGAAAGTTGGATAAATCTGATGAAAAAGTTTTTCTCTCAATTACCATCAGAAATTAATCTCCTTAATCCCAATTTGATCTCTTTCATGCATATAAGGGGTATCTTTCATCTGCCCACCTATGCGCTTAAAATGTTCGCCACAGAGTTAAGATGGAACGTGACTGTAAAACTTAGTCCTTTGTGAAACTCCGGGATTCTGGCTCCATGAGATGAGAGAGCTGATTAGGGGAGATGAGGACAGAGGTGCGTAACTGACAGCCATCCATTATCTCTTTCTGTAGCTGGTAGAGGAATGTAAGAAGTCTCCGGGAGTGTGTCATAGAGCTGCAGAGTGCCATCCAGAGGTTGGTATGGTTCAGCTGCAAGCAAAGGTACAAAGCAGAGCCACAAAAATGTACCTCTGAAAATGTAAATCTTTCCTTTTGTTCCAGGTTTTTTTTTTTTTTTTTTTAAATTTTTTCTTTTTTTTAATCAAATGATCCAATTTAGGAAGAGACAAACCTAATTTTGAGTCTGCTTATCTTAGTCATTCTCTGCTTGGAGAATGGCTTTTATAATTTCAAGACAGGCTTAATTTTGAGAAATCTAGAACAACTTTTGGATACCCTGCCTTTCTCTAGTTTTGTATATATTCCTCTATTTCTATTTTTCCTGTTTGTTATCTATTCCTGCAGTTTTATTATTTATAATTTATTCCTGCACAGTTGGCATGGAGCACCCATATTTTTGTTGTACATGTGCAATGACAATATTCTATTCTATTCATACACTGGAGCTTAAAATGAATAAACCTTTCATGTGGTAACCATATTCACCTTGGCTTAGTAAAATTAATGCGGAAGCTGTTGTGTGATTGCATTGGAGTTTAAGATGTACCTTATAAATTGGCCTGTCTGAGTGAGAGGCAGAGAAGAATCGTGGGGTGTCGAGTCTTCCCCGTGTTACGTCTCATCTGCAGCAAAGGATTTTCCAGCTGAGAGCGAAGGCCAGCAGGAGAGGGCTAGCTTAAAACTAAAGAGGTGATCAAAATACAGACCACCAGCTGACTCTAACATGACGATTCAGAGCAATCGCACTCGCCCAGAACTGCTCTCAGCATCCAAGCAGCCAGGACCACAGCTGATACTGATCAGGTCTAGTTACACACCAGCTCTCCCTTCTTTAAGCAGCACCTTGAGCTGCCAGTGCCCTACGAGCCCCAAGCACAGCAATGATGTGAGTGCTTTATAATAGCAAAGAAAAGGAGTCTCGTCTCGTTTCTCTCAACAGCGGTATCTTTTTAAGATGGCCAGAGCTGATGGAGGGGCACGATGCCAGCCCCTTGCAGAGCATTTTGGTCATTAGCGCGGACCGCACAGCCTGTTTCAAGTAGGCCTCCACAGGTCACTCTGTTCACTAATTGTACACTGCAGGCAAGATCAGATTCTGTTGTCAAGAAAAGGGGAGAATCGTAGCTTTGCCCTTCTGTGTATTCCTAAAGCTGATAAGATAATGAGGTCTTTTTCTGGGCTCAAGGCGTAAATGAGCAGTAGTATTAAATGGTTTTTTTCCCCCCCCACATTAACAGCTGAAGAGCGCATGGTTTCAGTCCACCGGAGACCTCAGTGCTGCATTTGTATTTGTTTTGTTAGTTTTATATTTGTTTTGGTCTGGACTTTTTTTTGTTGTACACATTGTTACTTGCTCTTTGCTCTTCAGTGCCATTCTTTATATCCATGTTGGTGACTCCGTGCATGATTTTAGACGCATGTATTTTATTTCCTCCACGTGTGTGTGTGTGTGTGTGTGTGTGTGTGTGTGTGTGTGTGTGTGCGTGTGCGTGTGTGTGTGTGCGTGCGCGTGTGCGCCGAGTCCTGAGCCAGGAGCACATCTCCGGCTTATCTGGAAGGCCTGGCGTCAGCTTCCTTAAGTGCTGTCAATGTCACATGGTAAAAGCAGCTCTGCAGCCTCTTAATTAGTTTAGCAAAAGCATCCTTGTCATTTTGCGGTCAGTAAACTCCGTTAGAGAAAATTAAGTCCAAGCTTCTGCCACCTCGTCAACCCCACACAGCCAGCCCAACAACAACAACAACAACAAAATAATGATTATGTGCTGTGTACATTTGTGTGTTAGCTGTTTTCACTTTTTGCTTTTAGAAATAATTGCTGTTGGTTGTGTGGCAGCATCAGAGGAAGGGCATTAATGATTCTCACTGGCCGTGAGGAAGCACTGTGCCGCAGAGGGCGGGAGAGAGAGCAACTCATTTTCTACAGTACAACTAAACGTGTGTGTGTGTGTGTGTGTGTGTTTGGGTAATATATTTTTAACAGCTTCCTTACTTTGTTTAGTGCATATTGTGTCAGACTGTAACAGTTACGTCAATGGTATGTGCATACATGTTGTGACTTTAATGTGTGTGCATGTGGCGTGTATGTGCACGGCTGTCCTTTTTCACGGATTAGCTGGTGAATGCTGCAAGAGGATGATCAGACTGGGAGCACACCAGGGTTGCTCTGCGATCACATAGGGATTACGGGGGATATAGAGCTGTAGTTGATTCCAGGCCCGCCTCCAGTTAGGCTCATCTCCGCCACACTCCCCTCACACATACCACTTTAATTGCCTTTGCTTCTTTCATTACTTTTATTGCCTCTCCTCTGCTTTGCGTGCTCCCTGGGCTTGTGGAAAGGTCATTGTGATGGCGCTGGTGTGCTCACAGCCACTGACTCTCTGAATAGCAGGAGATGATGATGCGGAGGCTGAAGCTCGGCAAATGAGTGACACATCAGGATGGCTACTGACAGGCTGTGGATAGATTTTTGCCTTAAAGTCTATTAAAGGCTATTATAACAAAAGAAGTCTTTAAAGGAAGTCAAAACTAGGATCATAGTTTAAAATGCCAACTAATGTGTGACATTCATTAATCAGATTCAATCAGAATACTCATTTAATCACAGAAGAAAGAAAATGTTTTCTTACAGATGCTTAAATAAAGAACTATTCAAACATTTCAAAGTCAAAACAGTGCTATGTTGAGTATCGACTAATACAAGTGAAAAGGAGGAGGACTTACAAAGTTCAATGGCCGCAGATAGGAGTGATTTCTCGTGGCGTTCTGTGATGCATTGTGGTTAAATGAGTTCTTTTGTTTAAGGTGCTGTGCAACATGAGAGAGATGGTGGAGAGGGATTGTCCAGTATTGACGGTAACTCGGACAGGATCCTTCTTTCTGAAACCTTGGAAAACTCAGTCGAGCTCCACGCCCTGGGTTTGCAGATTAAAAAAAAAAAATAGCTGTGTATATATCAGTTTAAAATAATAAAGAAGTATTAACATTACTTTAAAAATGGTTATTATCCGTGTGCTAAAGGAGTCAGTGTGTTGGTGCAAAAGCATTAAAGAGTTGATGGCCCTGTGTGGGAGTTGTGTGTCATTTTAATAAAGGTAATGATAGCATCTCCCAGACTCAGCTATGCCCTTAATGTCACTCTTATCACTGTAGGTCTTCTCAGTCCACATCATAACCAGTTTTTCTAAATGCTCCTTTGTGCCTCTTTGTGCCTTATTTATAAGACTTCACAGGCTTGAGTCTGGGGAAAAAAACCAAAAAAAAAAACCAAGGGTACTGCAGAGCAGCATCACTGCTATTCAAACAGCTCCTTGGGATTTTTATATTTTACTTGCCTCCTACTGCCTTTGTCCTTTACTCCCCATCTCTCGCTTCCTCTGTCTCAGTCCCAGTACAAGGTAGAGGTTTTGTGTTGCATTAGACTGTTCTCGTGTCCACAAGAAGCTTTCCACTGTCACCCAGTCAGTCCTGAAATTTAACCAAGTCTTCTTTATTAAACACTCCTACTCTTAAGATCTTTCTGAACTTTCGTAGTAATTGGTTTTTATCCCAACAATAGCTAATGCACATTTTATCGCATCCCAACGTTGCTGCAGGCAAACAAATGAAAAGCTGGCACTGAAACTAAAGGAGCAAAGAACTAGTCTACGCCAAGAGAGAGAAAGTAGAGATAGGAAAGTTATATTTATGTGGTTTATTCTCAGTTGAAACAGAAAATCAGTGCACCTTTTTCTTTGTGTTTACAGGTTCACCTGCAAGAGGGCGGGGAATCGGCAAATTGAGGTCAAAGCTACGCTCAATGAGAAGACAGCAGAGGAGAAGACCTAGGTACATCTATCCATCTGTTTCCTTCTGCTTATCAAATTCAGGGTCGCAGGAGGCTGGAGCTCATCCTAGTTGCCGCAAGGCAAGAGGTCGGCGACAACCTGAAGAGGTTTCCATTCTGTAGCAGGGCCAACAGATGACCATTCACACTCACACCTATGGCCAATTTAGAATCACCAATTAACCTAAGCTTCCTTTGAAATGTAGGAGAAAGCCTGGGTCCCTAGAGAGAATCCATGCAAACTTCACAGAAGAAAGGCCCCAGTTTGAAATCTCATTGGGTTTTTTTTCTTTTTGTTCTTTTTTTTTTTAATTCCAATACTTCTGAATAATTGTACTTATTTTGTCTTGGAAACTTCTGACATTATATAAAATGTGAACTTTCTCTAGAAATGAAGGCCAGCTCCACTTTTCACTCCCTCCCCCATAAAGCATTAAACAGTTGGGTCAATATGGTATCTACATAACAGTCTATTCTTACTGGGTTTAAATTTGATATAGATGTAAAGAAAAAGAGGTGATTTTGATTTGGCTTAAGCTGTGAAGGATCGGTAACTACGAGCATATAAAGTAAACACTTAATCGAACTACCTTAAATAGCCTTTTTACGCCAGATATTGCAGCTTCAGTATGTGAAACAGAAATAAATCAGAAGAGGTCATACGGTGAGCCTGGTGTTGAGCTACACTTTAGCTGATACTCTATATAACAGGTATTGCAGTAAATAGAGTTCAGCAGCATGATATCAGCTGACACCTGATTTGCTTCACCGACAAACAAGACCTTTTAGTGTTTTCCATTAAAAACTTGAGCAAAAGTTGTTGGTATGGTTGTCTGAGCACCACCCCTGCCAGAATATCCCACCGCAAGTTAGTGTGCTTCCTTTCCTCTACATCCTCTCTCTGAGCTGACAACCAAGACATTGCAAACTCAAATGTGAGACAGCCCACGACCGGCTGAAAATGATACTCCTTGCAAAGACCCCATTTCTCTTCAAAATGAGGGGCAGCAAATCTATACAAGCCCCTCTCTGCTTTTGCTCCGGTTGACTCCAGAGACGGTGTCAGTGACAAAGAAGCAAGCTTTCAGATGGAGCACGAGTGTTCCTGGAGTGGCTCATCTGAAACGTGGGTCAATAGAAACACTCACCAGCACATCACACAAACTGAAAAACAAAGATGCTGTATAACTCCCCAGATTTTATTGGCTGTCATGTTGATTTTTTCTTGTTCTGGGATTAGCATAGGCCTCAGTGTGTTGGTGTGACTAATGGTCTGTGTTTTTCCCGGCTGTGAAATCAGCAGCCCGAGAGCCCAGAACAGCCTGCACAACAGTGTTTGAAGTCTGCCTCCCCCATGGGTGGTGCCTCTGGGTCCTGCTGTCCTGCTGTCTCCGTCTCAGAGCGGGGGCTCTCCTTTACATACAGCCATGTTTAGCACTCCCCCCACTCCACTAATCTACCCCTCTACCCACTTTGTGTGCACCTCACTTGTGTGGCCCAGCCTTGACTGATGGCTAAAGCTTGTTAACACTGAAGACACATTTGTAGCTGGGAAATGTTAAGAGTGGCAAAGGGACAGGTGGTGATCAGAGGACATGGAAAGGCGGCGCAAGAGGTCTCACATTCCTGATGCAGTTTGAGCCTCCAGAGTTGGCAAACTTTTCCCCCACAACTAACCCAAGGACATTCTCTCCTCTTGCCAGACAGACAGATGAGTGTTGGTCGCTCTTAGTGTTCCCCAGGACCCCATAGGAGGCTTTAAGTAAACATGTCACTCAGCTATCACCATGGAAACTTGGGTTATTCCCTAAATATAATATGAATTTTATGTGTTGCTTGGGAAATAGTTATTTGGTGCTGGAATGGTATCTCCCAGATGAAGCCTCATTTCATTTTTCTCAACCAATATCACCTTGCTTCAAAGTAAGCCAGGTCTGTGTTGCCCGGTATTTGCCTGCAACACATTCTTATCTGACATCCTCTCAAATTGAAAGCAGGGAAATTGGGGCTGATTCAGGGGATACGTTTTTGGTGATGGAAGGACAGAGGGAGGGGAGAAAGATGTGAACCCAATCTGCTATGTGTTGACTGTACTGATTAGGGGCTTGTGCTAAGAAGAGCCTCTCTATCCCTTCATTCCTTGTGTTTACTTTGAACCCCACCGCCCTCCTCTACACGGGCATCACTGCAGAGTGCCCTCTCTATCCATCTCTTCTCCACTCCTCCATATCAAATGTATCACATGAGCCACAAGCACTACTTTGAATGCCATCTAGTACAATTAAAAAGATGACAGCTTAACTAGGGCTAGAAGGGGGTTTTTGCCAATCCATTAGGGAAGGTAGAGTAAGTAGAGTGATTAGTAATGTGAGGAGATGTATGACACATCAGAACCTTGACTGAGTTTAGGTTGGACAGCTGTGCATTTGTGCGTATTTGTGGAGAGCAGGAGAGTACAAATGCAAAACTGAGCCCATTAGGGGCTGCGGGGTTACTGGAGCAAAGTCCAGCTAATGTTTCGGGCCATTCAGAATGCCTGCGGGGAGCCGGGATTACAGAGCTGGTCTTAAAAGCGAAGCAGAAATACAGGGAATAATAATACATAGATAAATAAGGGATGGAATGGCATGGGAGAAGCTGGGAAAATAGCAGCATGTTTGTTTATTTATGGCGTCTGAAGGCCTGGTCTGGATGCAGGGTGGGGGGCTGGTGAAAGGCTTTCCCTCTCATACTCCAGCTCCCTAGCTTTCATTAAGTGTCATTACCAGTACTTTCAGAAAGCTGGCCAGGCTGAGACCTAACATCCCCTCTACAGATAGTTTGCCATGCATATGGATGCATTTCTGATCCCTCTTATCCACCACTGAGGAGGGGGAATTAGGCCAGCGAGGAGGAGAGGAAGGGGGGGTAAAGGGTGCATCCATATCTGACTTTAATGGCAGAGACGGAGCTATTACTTCAATTGAGGGACAGTATCCACGCTTGGCTTGTTTTTTGTATATGGTTATCAACACTGCAAGAATTTCACTTAAGATTTTCTGTTTTTATGACCAGAAAGGTCACGTACCCCCCATTTCTGTACAATCAAATGTGTTTTACACTCTTTAGAAGAGTTGCATTTTCATTTCAGCACAGTACAATGTACTCGTAGTGCTATTTTAAAATGTGCATTTCTAGCAGCGCGGTATTCATTAACAATTTGCTATTCCAGTTCACTTACTTTGAGAGCGTCCCCTGATTGATGGGGGGCTTGTTCTGTTTATTTGTATATCAGGGAATGAAAAATTCATATTGTGCGCTTTTCGAGCAGAAGTTATCTAGATTCAGTGTAAATGGTACTTGGGATTAGATTTTCACAGCAGATTGCTGTTATTAAGGAGAAAAATCCAGCTCCTTTGAGCAGTCATCTTCCTGGGAGGCAATCTATTTCTCTTTCACGCAGCCCGAGTGCTGGACCAGGCTCTTAATGCACTGAAGCAAAAGTGCTTCGGTCCGCAACCTTTCACGCCTTCAGCTCTCCTTTATGTGATTGAATAGTTAATAACTATGAGTCGCCTTTGAAAGGCGCGCCGTGGTCCTTCTGAGGCACTTCTCTTCTTTTTGTCTGTTTGGCTGCTGTACCTGCCCATTGCTCTGTCTACCTGCACATCTACTTTGCCCAGATGCCAAGTCAACTGATAGCCCACCCGTTTCTCCACCAGCTCCTTTTACTTTTATCTTTGTCTCTCCCCTGACTTGCCGCTTGTGTCTGGCTGTCTTGGTGTGCACATCAGAATTTTGAGCGCTGTGCATCAACATTTTTATTTATTTATTTTTAGTATTTCATCTCCTGCTTCTTCTTTCTCTTCACATTCACACAAACAGACAGACACACACTCCCTCACACAGCTCATTAGCCCATCCCACGCTCACAGCTCTAGCAGAATGTGACCCTGCCTAATTGTGTACCATGCTCATTTGTTCTCCCTGCGTGATGTGACGATTGCTTATTTATTCTCCTCAGGGCTCCCATCTCACATTAAAATGATTGACTCATTTCATTCACTGCACATTTTCAAGCTTTATTTGATAAGCTCATTTCCCTTGGCATTCAAATTCCTCCTTTTCCCATGCTTAAAAGTTATAATGTTACCGAGGCACGTTATTATTCATAGTCGGGATTGTTTCTTCAGCTAATTATCTGTGTTGGAAAATAATTTTGCACGTGCGATTCTGTTTATTCTGGTGGAATTGAGCAGTACAAAAGGGCAGACATTAACAATGCAGTTGGGATAGCTGAGGAGCCAATTGTGTACACAAAGTTGGCAGACGCGGTCAACAAGAAGCTTAAGAGGGATTGGGACGCTGTCGAAACTTGGCCAGAATAAGCAGAGCAAATTTGCATTTGGTTAGAATTTCCATCTGGTTAGAGACCTGTTTTACAAATGAGAAAGCCATCAACCTTTTTGTCCAGTCGTGTAATGAGGGAGTGTTTTGACACAAAAAGAACCATAACAAGTGATTGCTGATTGGGGATTTGGACAGCATTGTTACAGACGGATGTTAGCTCTTGTAATTTAGTCAGCTGACAGTCGATGTTTTCTCCCTTCAGCTACTGTATATCGACCAGGCCTCGGTGACACAGCACCTGCTGGAGGCTTACGTGCTGTGCTGCTGGGTCACTTGAGAATAAGATTTGTGCAAGTGACAGGCTTAAAAAGACGTGACTGGCAGAGCTTAGTAATGCATATGAAGTATCATTTGGCGTGAAACAAACAGAAGGGTTGATTCTGTTCATCTAGATGTAGCGTTTTCTGAAAACGCTACGTCTGGATGAACAACTCTTTGGATTTCCTTGCCTGGATGGTTGAGCATGAATCAACACAAAGAGAAGGGTACACAGATTGTTTGCGTATCTACTACAGGATGATTCATTGTCATGTAATAATAATTAAAAAAATAACGCCCTTGTTATGTTCCTGAGTAACTCTCCACAGAGTAGTGGTTCACACATTCAAAAGATCTCTGGTTTGAGACCCGAAGGAGACAAAAATCCATGGAAGAGCTGTGTCAGGGAGGTCACCTGGCACAAACATCTGTATAAAATCAAACATGTGAGTTACTGTGACAAGGAAGTAGCTGAAAGAAGTTTTATGTAGCTGAGCATTTAACACTTGAGAATTTTTGCCTCTTTTAATGATGAGGTACTCTCACAGTTGGGTCATTTATTTTGGTAAGACTAAAAAAAAAAGTGAAGCAGCAGAAGCCAGGACTCCGTATTTTTGAGGGAGAAATACAGTTCAGGCTCTGAAAACACTGGATCCTTAATGAGAAGTCTGATTGTATATGTATGTCTCTTTCTTGTGCTTTTGCAGTTTTCGGTTAGCAGAGCAGAGAGCCGAGGGAGGAGGAGCATCACTGCGAAAACCTTTGCCAGCATTTGTCCATCCAGCAGCCAGCAGTCATGGCAGCTGGATGGAGGTTCAGCTGAAGAGCTTGTCCTTGAAGTTACTTCACCCTTAAGAAGGCAATTCTTGAAATGGACAGACTGCATCACTCCAATGTGAGGGGCCTTTAACATCTTAATGATTTTTTTTTTCAATCGTATACACTACCTATTTAAAGTAAATAGTTCAACAATTCTGTAATACCAGACTATAAAGGTGGAATATAAATGTTTATAATGTTTGATGTGTTTCTTTCCTTTCCTAGTCAGAATGTCCTGAATGACATTTTTCGTGTTGTTAAGTTGAACAAATTATTGGCTTAAAGTAATAATAATCTATATTTCATGGTTAAGTTTCTTTACACTGTTTTCTATAAAAGTGTAGCACTTTTGTTTGGAGTCACAAAAAGCATCTTCTCCTAGAGCAATAGACCCACAAGCCAAACTCCAAAATCTTAATGAGTGTACCCAGATAGACAAGAAATTGCATCCAAATAAAAGAATAATAAAGGCATCTAAACCGTAACAAGTCTGCCTTTGTTCTTCCACTCCACCCACCACAAGCAGGCATTGTTGCAGCTTTGAGGGCAGCTCTGAGAGTTCCATGCCCATCGGCCTTCAATCACATGGGATGTCTGAGTTTGACAGTATAAAGTCTTTCTTCTAGAATAAAATATAACCCCTAAGCAATAGTGGATGAGCTGTTAGTAGCCATGCAGTCCACAGGGATCTAGACCAAGCATGGTAGTACAGTATACACAAAGTGCTGGTTAGGGATAAGACAATGGACCAGTAAAAACATCACTCGATGCCGCAACACTTAAATTTCTCACCATTTGCTTCTGTTAGCAAATATTTTTGTTTCAATGGTAATATTTAAGTTGGCTTCACCAAAATTAAAAAATAAATAACGCTCTTTAAAAAAGTTAGTCTGTTTAAAGGTAATTTCATTACTATAAAAGTATTAAAACACCCTCTTTAAAAAAAAAAAAAAAAAAACCTTCACCCACCGAAACTGAATCTTCTACCGTAGTCCTGCACCGCTCAGTCATTCCAAACCGATTGTGTCCATCTTTCCTTTGATTTGTCAGAGAGCATCATTGAGGATGCAGCGTGAGCTTGAATAGATTTTCCTTGGTAAGATTTTCACTCACTGGCAATATGGAAGGTTTCACTCCTGCTTTACACCAAGAGGACATCATCAGTTCTTGTCTTGGTCAAATCAATGGACAACATTCTTTCCAGCATAGCGGTCAATATGCAACGCTTAAGGTGTCTGAGGAAACTAAAGAAGACCAATAATTGTTATTAATAACATGGATCTCCCAAAGGATTGTATTTACAGGCTTTCAAATGTAACTATAACATGCACATAACCTACAAAGGTCCTGTCGCCCTGTCTGTGAATATCTGTGTGCAGGAATGTCAACACCGCAAATGGACCAATTATATAGTAATTGTGTTTTTACACAAAGAGGAACTCAAACATCTAGCCAGTGCATTCATGGCCACTTGAAGATGGTCACATGTATGAGTTCATTTGTCCATTGATTTGGTTCGAGAGGACCTTTTGTGCTTTTGATTCATTTTTCAAATACGTGCTGTTGTATCTCTCTCCTGACTGTCTTCATGGGCTGACAGTGATCTGAACCAAAAATTTCAAATTTTGATTCAAAATTGGCACCGATTTTCATCATGTGTTTAGTTACTACTAATATCAAAGTGCCTGAACATGCTATTTAAAATTGTTTTTTGTGTGTGCACAGTTTCACGTAATGACAACACTGGTTCATCCCTCGAGTTGGATCCCTTTTTATGCTTGAATGATTCACAGGTCCGTGTTAAGTGGCTTAAAAAGGTCTAAAATGGTCAGGTACAAGAGTGGTCTGAAAATGAATAAACAAGCATCCAATGTTCAAAGAAAAACTTTGGACCCTTTGGAGCAAAATATAAAGAAATGAAGGTGACTCGAGAGTTTTGCACAGTTCTGCCTGTATAACTATTACAGTGGAGGTGCTCATATTGAACATAGTGTTTCAAATAGTGAGGGAGATCAGTCTTGGCCCCCCATTGTTTTTAGGATCTCTATGATGAACTCTAACTGGGAGCAAAGAAGCCCCACCTACTTGGCTGGCTGAAAGCGAGGTGGAAACGAGCTAAAAGACAAAGGATAAAGTGAAGGGTTCCATCCATCCTCTTCCACTTATCCAACTGGGGGTCATGGGGGGACTGGAGACGATCCAAGCTGCCTTTGAGCGACTATAAATAATATATAATAACAATATATAGTTAAAGTATGAAATTATTTTTGAATTGTCCAACATAAACTAATCTACTCACGTTATCATTAGGAGAGTCAAAACCCAAACATAACATGGTGAACTTGGTAAACATCCTCCCAGCATCACGCTGGCACTTAGCATTTAGCACCATTGCACTAGGGCTGAGTTCAGCCATTACTGAGCTTGTTTACCATTTTCATGTTGTAAATGACACCTGTTATTTTGGAGCAGGCCATGTCACGTATGACATTCTTGACATTAAACATCATTTAAACTGAATTTTATAGCAAAAGTAAGTATTTTTGCTATAATCATAGCAATTAGTGGAAAAAAATGATTTGCAACTGATTAAAAACCCTTTTTTTGTGCTGAAAAACCCCCCCAATTACAACTAATTTGGCATGATCTTTGGCGCTAACGTGAATAGCTGTAAAAATAAACGAATAAAAATCACAGCAAATCGATGGTTGCGTAGTTTAAAGACACCACAGGTCATTTATTTTAAATCTCTTCTCTCTTTTTTTTTCCAGTTTCTTACAGGGACACTAGACACAAACAGGCTTTTGTGCATCAATTGCCGCTGCCCATTTGCATTGCATACAAAGGCACTCTGCGAAAGCCATTTTAAAGTGAAGGACGGTTAACAACAAGCATACATTGCCTCCTGTTTCCATCACAAACCACATGTGGGTTCAGAGCTGTTGAAGGTAAGGGACTACAGAAAATGGGGGTGAGGTGTGGGGTGCGTAACATTCAAAATTCAATCAAGTGAAGGCCATCTCCAGCAGGGTAACAGTGTGTGGAGGCAGGGTGGGGGGAGGGAAAACTCAGCTGAAGTTTCCACTGGGCCTGCTGTGTTCCTAATGCAGCCTTGGATGTAATTGGGTCCCAGAAGGCTGTTCATTATTGTGGGTGAGCGAGGCAACAAAACAGAAAGAGGTAGAAGGAGAAAGAAAATGTCTCATTCTTTGCTCAGTGTCTTTGTCCTGGTACCATTATGGGACAAGAGTTAATTAAAAGAGCAGTTGATGCCTCTGTTTTTCTCATCAATCTCACTTCTGCTCTTATTAAGTTTGTAATGACAGCGGAGCTTGTCCCTGTCAGCCACCAGACGCTCGACTGAGGGGAAGGCGAGGGCGGGGCAGTTAATGTGAGAGACAGCTCATCTCAACAAATCTCACAGTGGTCAACAGCTAACATAATCCCTCCATCACATCTCGGGGTGACGATGTACAGTCCGTGGAGGATGAGCTACTTCCATGAAAAGGCGTCTGCTTTATTCGGGGTGTGGCAGGAGAGCCTGTTTAAGAGGCGTGGCTTTACGCCCTAATCCTGTGGCTCCTACATGCAGCGCCTTGGAGGCCATTTTAATTCCTCCATCATTACAGGCACCGTCCCTGGAAAGCTTTAGTAAAGGTGACTGCTGACACTGTCATTCACAAGGACAATTTCAAAATGTCAGCCCATAGCTGAGATTTGTCTCATTAAAGTTGGTGGAGTCCATTATATCCATCCCCTCCTCCACCTGCCACACTCAATCAAGATGACTTGGAGAAATGAGGGGATTGAGGGGAGTCATAATATTGCTTATTTGCATTAGAGTTACAGTGAGACAGACGATCACTGACCAACAAGAAAGGCCTGTGGAAAAGGAAGTCAGCTGAGAGGGAAAACACTGCTGGCATTTGTAGAATTCACAAGCAGACAGAGCTTCGTTTCGTCTTTCCTTGCACATTGATGCCAGCCGGCAGGAAAGGTTTCCTCTAAGAAACATGAAAAAACAAGGGAAAAAAAAAAAATCTAAGTGTGACTGTGATAAAGACGCTGGCTCTCCATCCAAGGCGTTGTTCAACAGTCTTGTAACCTGAAGATTTACATACAGCTTTAATTGCCCAGCTCTTCATCCAAAACATATCAGCACACATGTAGATGTGAGGCTTTCACTTTGTTTCCCTTTGATCAGTTTCACTCACCTCAGTTCTTAAATGTGAAGCTGACGGGGGAAATTTCGCATCATCAGCAATGTGGCTGCGTTTGGGTAGTTGGACAACGTGCAGACAAACCTCTGAGCCTCCAGTTTGTTTTAATCAGCTGTTACCTAAGCTTTTTTGGATGCTTCCTTATTAACACTTGGCAAACTTTTCCAGTCGTGGTCGTCTCCTCCCGGTCATCTTCTTCTCAAACTTCTTCTTTGTGACTTTTGGAGTATTTTTTGATAAAATATGATGAAAAATATTAATAAAGACTCAACTGGTTGGTTAACAGAGAACATTGTTACCTTTTCAGTGCCCAACCTCTGGGTGTGGAACCTGATTTAACGGCGGACATGCTTTATGATCATAGTTAATGACTTCTAAATTAATTGTTTGCCACTTAGTTTTAATAGATACATAAGCAAAAACTGAGTTGCATCATTTTCACTTATCAAATCATTATTCACAGCACTGCAAAACCAACCAATGTTTTGCATGAATGTGCAGAAAATGCATCAGAACTACACTGGATTTAAAAAAAAAATTAAAATTGCTAATGTTTATTTTCATTTGTAAAATATGTAGAAAGAAAAAGAAACATAAGCTGAGTTTCATGTAAAAGGACGAAAAACCGACACACCAGTCTATGTGAAGCTGCATGGCATTCTGATCAGCTGAGGGTAAAGAGGAAGGTGCACACCAACAAAGGCATATGAGCATTTCTGAACATCTGTTTCAAGGAAAACCAAAAAGGTAATGTTTGCCATAACAGTGACACCGTTTATATATTTAATCCAGCGTGGTGAAATAATGAAGCGATGATCAGCCACAGTACGTTGTTGGAACAAGGTCAACAGGAGTTAAAAAAGGTCAATTGCCTAAGCCTGCATGTGAGTATTAGGGCGTATGACAATACGACTGTAGAGTCAGTAGACACTCGTGCCACAAGTACATTTTCAATAGTGCTTCTGTCTGTAGAGGAGCACTTCAAGGTGGCACGTGTCGTTCAAGTCACAACACTGCAAGAACTAGTAAATACAAGGACATGAAGACACGTAACACTTACATCAGCTTACCATTTATCAGCTGCACTCTGACAATACCGTCAGGAATATAGAAAATTACGTTTGAGTTTTTAGTGGAGGTACAATTATTGTCAACACCTCTCTAAAAGCCTTTCAATAATAAGCACATATAAATACTGTTTATGGGGGAACAGAAAGAAAGAAAACAGCACAGTCCTTTTTCCTTAAAATGCATCATGGAAACAG